AATTGAAACCAAAGCACAAAAAATTGTAAATCTACAACTTTAAAAAAAAATAAAATAAAATAAAGGGGGAAAAAAAAAAGAAAAAAAAAAGAAATCTAGGAAGATAGAAATAAGACAGAACTGTTACATGGTGAAAGCACAGAAAGGATTTGGGAATCTTTGTTGTCTAATTTCTTTTGTCCTGGTCTTCTAGGTGCTCTGAACAGAGTGTCTAAAATTAAACTTATTTTAACTTCATTCAGCTATGGGGAAAAACATATTTCAAGGTACTCAAGGTACCTCGAGATATGGGTTTTTTTTTTAAGAAAAAATAGTTATCAAAAATTTTGAAGGGGAAGTTGAAGCTAGTGTGTAACAGAAACTGCTGCCTGGGGCCAGGGGAGGAAGGGGAAGCTTTTACCCCCTGTACTACAAGCTCTTGGAGAGCCCGGCAAGCTACCGAGAGTATCCCGCCCGCATGGCGGAGCCTGGCAAGCTCCCCGTGGCGTATTCGATATGCCAAACACCGTAACAAACAAATCTCACAATGGAGACATTACTGGTGCCCGCTCGAGCAAATTGATGAACAGCAGGAGGACAGTGCTACTGCAAGTAGAAGGTGTGGGCTGAGCTGATGCAAGGGAGCAGGAGGTTCCCAGGGAGAGAACACGAACCCGCCTCTTGGGGGGGCACGCCCACACGCCCTGGCGGTCCAGCAGTTGGCGCTCCTGGGCACGCACCTGGGAGAAAGGACAGGTTCCAGCTTTGTCCAGGATGGCCAGCAGGTGGGAACAGCCCAGCGTCCGGCGAGTGGGAAGGTCGGCTAACCAGGGTGTCCCATGAACTCAGCAGCCATGAAGGAGCAGGTGCTTAGCCAGCAACATGCAGCCGTGTGCCAGACTGTGGGGAGACTGTGCGCAGCAAAAAGGGGTCCATCCCTGAGGCGAGGGGCCCTGCGGGGCTGGAATGGGACTCCATATCCTGAGGAGTGGGGGCTGGCCGGCCACAGGAGTGAGTGGCCATGTGTCAGTGCTGACCATTATTATTATTATTATTTTGCATTTTGGGTCACACCCGGCGATGCACAGGGGTTACTCCTGGCTCATGCACTCAGGAATTACTCCTGGTGGTGCTCGGGGGACCCTATAGGATGCTGGGAATCGAACCCAGGTTGGCCGTATGCAAGGCAAATGACCTCCCAGCTGTGCTATCGCTCCAGCCCCAGTGCTGCCCATTATCCTGCAGGCGCTGTCCCCTCGTGTCACCGAGTGGCACCCGTGGTTACCACACCGAAGGTCCCATAGCAGAGCTGGCCCTTGGCAGTGTAGCTCCTGTCAGGGGTCAGGCTCAGGGCCTCCTGCGTGCAGGCAGGGGGTGTCCCCCGGAAGCGACCCCGAGGCCCTGGAGCTGGAAATGGTGCTGGCCCGGCCAGGGAGGGGGATCTTGATCGCATCCCAGAGGCTGGGAGAATTCGGGCAAAAGAGCTCTGGATAATGAGTCTTCCTGGGGTATTTCAAACCCAAAAATGAAATCACGCAGTTTCTTAGCATTCAGCCAAGAAATGAAACCTGATCAAGTGTACCCAGAATGCGAATTGTGCTCATCTGTTCAGGGTGATTTCAGGGTTTTTATTTATTTTTTTATTTATTGCCTTACTATTGGTGCTTTTTTATCTATGTGAAATTTCTTTTTTTTCCTTTTTGGGTCACACCCGGCGATGCACAGGGCTTACTTCTGGCTCATGCACTCAGGAATTACTCCTGGCAGTGCTCGGGGGACCTTATGGGATGCTGGGAATCAAACCTGGGTCGTTTGTGTGCAAGGCAAATGCCCTACCCGCTGTGCTATCGCTCCAGCCCCCTTTTAAATCTTTTTTTTAACATTAAAATTTTTCTGTGATGTACGTGGCTTGTCTAGGTATCTGAAAGCTTTGATGAAATAAATGCAAATAATTCTTTTAAGCAACGTGGGAAGTCCTGGGCCGAGAGGATGACTCAGAGGGGCAGAGACCCTCGCATTTGTCTCTGGCATTAATCCCCCCACCCCCGCCCTGTACCACCAGGGTGAGAGTTCACTGGGCCCGCCCAGGCCCCCGAAGTACTGCCTAGGAAGCCCATCGATAAAAGATAAAAATCAGCTCCAGTTTGCAGATTCTTTCCTGAGGACGGGGAGTGTGGCTTGTTAGTGGCCAGGGTGCCCTGGCCGTCTGTCTGGGCAGTTTGCAAAGAATGTTAATTGCATTTAGAAATTCGATTCGGGGTTTGAGGAGAGTCTTCTGTTCTCCTTTGATCACTCTGTGCCTCTGTTTTAGTGTCCAAGATTCATCCTGGACTCAGCCGAGAAATGTCGGGTGGTAACCATTTAAATTGGGGATTTGAATCTCAATCCTGACTCTCTTGGAAAAATGCTCCATTTCCTTAATGTTACATAGAGATTAGTGAAGTTCTTCTCAGCCTAGTTAAATTTTCTTTCTTTTTTTTTTCTTTCTTTTTGGGTCACACCTGGCAATGCACATGGGTTCCTCCTGGCTCTGCGCTCAGGAATTACCCCTGGCGGTGCTCAGGGGACCATATGGAATGCTGGGAATTGAACCCGGGTCGGCCGCGTGCAAGGCAAACGCCCTACCCGCTGTGCTATTGCTCCAGCCCCTAGTTAAATTTTCTTTCTCTGTTTTTTTTTTTCCATCTTGGGTTGGAGAGACTGACGTGAACTCTTTGAGCAGTGCTCTCCCCGGCTCCCCTCTCGGCCTCCACTCCCCATGGTCTCCACCCCCCACGGCCTCTGCTCCTCCCAGCCTCCCAGTACTTGTGAGCCTTAGTTGTGGACTGGGTGGAAATTGTTCCTAAAATGAGTTTTATAGATTCTTTTTCTTTTTTAAAAATATATATATATATTTTTTATCTCTCTGGTGCTACCTTCTTGCCCTATTAAAACCGATAATTGAGAATTGATTCTATCATCTTCGCTGGTAATGGAATGTTGGTTGTTCTGCGTAATTATCCGTTGGAAATGGATGGCGGTGGCCGCTGTGGAGGCCGCAGCCAGATAAAACCTGAGCAATGACCTGGAGCTGGAAGCAAGGGAGACAGAGCTGGCTTGATGATGGGATTAAACCATCACGCCCGACTCCTGCCGGGAGGACCGCTGCATCTTCCTCACGCTTTTTCTTTTTCCAACCCTTCTCCTTTTCCATCTTAGCGCTCTTCTTGTCTTTGTGTTTGTCCGGCATTTCGCAGTCTGACAAATGATAGAGGGAAGGTGAACACCAGGTCTTCCGTCTTGGGGGAACATATGCCCCCAACTTCTGTCTTGCCATGGGTCCCCTCCTCCCTCCCACTCTCCCTTCTGCACTCCTGAAAGGGAATGTGGCGATGGGGGCAACTGGACACAGTGTCCACTCACTCACTCAGGAGCAACTGAGCCGAGCTGAGCACAGCCCACCCTGTTGGGGGGGGGGGGGGGGGGTGCGGCTCTCAACAAAGTGGGCTCCCAGAGGACCCTGAGACAGTTCCTATGACTCGTTTGCATTTGCAAACTTTAAGTTCCACAGCCCAGTCCTACCCCCGCTGTGTGCAGACGAGATTGCATTCAAATATATATTTTTTAAAATCCGGGATTAAACAGCTTTAGGACCTGACGATGCAGAAGCTGGAGAGAACTGCGGTTCTAAAGCAGAAGGCTTGTGAATGAAACTCTTCCAATAAGCTGCGTATCCGCAGACAAACCTTAATTCCATTACAGCAAGGTAGTCTTTGATTTTTACATTGATCTGGGGTTTTGAGCTTCTTATCTGGGATTTTTTTTTTTTTTTTTAAGGTAAGTTGCACTGTGTCTGAAGGCCTTGAGGCTGATCTATTGACAGGGAGACTTGGTCCAAGGCTTTTTGGTCACAAAGCTCTTGACCCAGATAGGCTGACGGCTGGAGTGAGACCCTCTCTCCCCCCCTCTTCCCTCCCGGGTTCCCCCTCAGTTCCTTGAACATTTCCTCAAGGCGCCAAAAGGTGATAAGAGTCTTTGAGCTGGGCCATTTGCGGTGCTGTCCTGGGGAATAGTTCTGGGAAATAGTTCAGAACATCTCCTCTTCTTTTATTTTTTTCTTTTTCTGTTTGGGTCACACCTGGCAATGCTCAGGGTTACACCTGGCTCTGCACTCAGGAATTACTCCTGGAGGTGTGCAGGGGGCCATATGGGATGCTGGGGATCGAACCCAGGTCGGCCGCATGCAAGGCAAACACCCTACCCGCTCCCTATCCGCTGTGCTATCACTCCAGCCCCTCTCCTCCTCTGCTTGACATTCTGTTGTTCTAAGTAGTGCTGGTGCCGTGTGAGATCCCACTGAGCAAGCCCCGAGGCCCCTCCCTGCCGTGCCAGCGGGGGCTGCTGCCCTGCCCTCGTCCAGACAGGCAGCTGAGATGCAGGATGGCTGAGTCCTGGGTTGGACCCCTGCCACCCCACGTCACCCTCCGAGCCCACCAGGAGTGATCCCTGAGCACAGAGCTGAAAGCAATCCCTCAGCACTGCCGGGGCTGCTGTCCCTCCAAAAACTAATAATAAAACAACACCCACAAAAAAGAACCCACAAAAGAATGTACTGAGAGCTTGTGTCTGGACCTTGTGCTCAGAGACTAATATGAGTGCATGGGCCCAGGGATGCCGGAGCCCCGTGTCTTGGCCGCTTGTTCTGTCATCGGGGAGAGTCTCCTCCCTGCTGTGTGGGGACCTCGGATTTCAGTGAGGTGGTGACAGAGGGAGGGAGGAGCTGTCTGAAAGGTGAACCACGGTGGTTGTCGTAAAGCAGGGTGAGTCCAGGCAGAGGGTCTGGCGCTGGCTAGGGCGGCCCCAGAGCCAGCAGGTCCAGCTCTGGGGACAAGAGCAGAGACCGGAAGTGGAGGCTAGTGGCCTTCCTGCTGGGCACCTGCCCGGCCTGTTCCTACAGAGGGCCACTGTGCATTCATGGGCACACCTGTTCCTACCTTCCCCTCAACTTCCCAAGCCCTGAGCTCAGTTCCATGTTTCCTCAGCTGAACTAGATGCAGAGCACAACCAGAAGGTTCTAGAAATGGAACAAAGCCAGCAAATGAAGCTGAAGGAGCGGCAGAAGTTCTTCGAGGAGGCCTTCCAGCAGGACATGGAGCAGTACCTCTCCACGGGCTACCTGCAGATCGCCGAGAGACGAGGCAAGTGCGAGGGCCCCCCGGGGGTATCCTGCCCGTCCCTTCACGAGGACCCCACCTGTAGGACCCGCCTGGTCCTGAGTGTCTCACAGAGCTCCTGCTATAGACGCCGTCATGCTGGGAGCACAGACTAAGAGTTGGGAGCAAGGCAGGGCTCCCTCCCCTGTGGCTGCATCGAGCTGGGGCCATACAGGGGATGCGGTGGGGGTCACCCTCTGCCCCTCTGCCATCGTTCTGCCCACCGCGGGTCACTGTAGCTCACCGTCCTGGCCATTCTAGTTGCGTTGCCTGCACACACCTGCTGGGCATTGGAGATTTGCACCCTCTGTTCCGGAGTGTGTGTGTGTGTGTGTGTGTGTGTGTGTGTGTGTGTGTTTATATGTTTATGTGTCTATGTGTGTGTATGCGTCTGTGTGTTTGTATGTCTGTGTGTATGTGTTTGTGTGTGCGTGTTTATGTGTGTATATGTCTGTGTGTGTATGTGTCTGTGTGTTTATGTGTCTGTGTGTTTGTGTGTCTGTGTGTGTGTGTGAGTGGTGAATGCAGGTGGCACAGGGGATCGGATTCAGTTTTCCCCCAGGTGCCCAGGCACGTTGCACACTGGATCCGGGCAGACATGGGGCAGAGGATGATGGGCACGTAAAGAAACCACTCCAGGAGACAGCCGATGACCGCGCGCTTTATTGCCAAGTGCACACGTATTTTATAGAGGGTCTTGGCTTAGAGGATGGTCCAATCACATGTAGTTTAGCATGACCTTTCCAACTCCGCTTTGCCCCGGCCCAATCCCAATTAGGGCTGGATGCTGCAGTTAGGAATGACTCGCTAAGCGTAGGTGACAGTTCTCAGGGCGGGGCTGGGTGAGACTCAAGGCCGGATACCTGGTGCTGGTCAAATGCACCCAGACACCCCTACTGGGTCGCTGTGCAGGGACACGACTTACCTGCTCTAGCGCCTTTGCCTCTGAGCCACCCTGGGACTCCGTGACTTGCAGATTGGCACCCGGGGACATGTAGGGAAGGGAACTGGGGCACTGGAGAGGACAGAGGGAAACTGCCGCTGCCAAACTCAAGCCTCTGTCCTCCCTTGGGTTGTTAGCTCAGCAGATATTGCCCAAGCGCGGTCCAGGGCGCAGCCCTTGTCAGGCCCCAAGGGAGATGACCAGAGTGTCTCTGTGCAGGCCCCAGGGCCCCCTGTGGCTGGCAGGGCCCCCTCCAGGGCCAGAGCTCAGAAGTGGGGGGTAAGGGGGAACCCAGGAGCATGGGGTGCTCTTGGCTGCCGCTGCACTGGGCAGAGAGGCCTGAGCCAACACCGTCTAATGTGAGCGCCTAGGTGGGACAGGGCCAGTTTCCAGGGGGTTGAGCATCTTTTTTTTTTTTAATTTTTATTAGTGAAACACCATGAGGTACAGTTGTAGACATACAAATTTTGGGGCTTGGGTTTCAGTTAATTTCTGGGGCTAGAGTGATACACAGCAGGTAGGGCGTTTGCCTTGCACGTGGGCGACCCAAGGTTCGATTCCCAGCATGCCATATGGTCCCCCAAGCAATGCCAGGAGTAACTCCTGAGTGCAGAGCCAGAGGTAACCAACCCCTGAGCATCACTGGGCATGACCCAAAAAGCAAAAAAAAAAAAAAAAAAAATTAAAAAAAAAATCTCCAGGGTCCAAAAGTGGTGGGCTCTCATTTTTTTTAAGGTAAAGAAATGTGGCAGCCTCAGGGCCTCACTTTCCCATTGAGTCAAGCCCCCTCACTCCCCCTGACCCTTGTTTCTCGGGTCTGAGGTCTGAGCAGAGACTTCACTTCCTCCTGGGGACCCTCCCCCAGAGCCAGAGGGGACCGTGAGCACTCACACTTCGGACCAGTGCCCAGGGCAAGCGGGGCTCCAGACTGTGACCACACACAACCCAACCCCACACACTGCACACGTTGTGCATCACACACGTCTCCAGTGGTCATTGTGACCCGTCAGTTTGTCCTGATCGCCCGCCACTGGCTAGCCGCCCACTCGCCGGCACCGCTGTCGGGGTGGGTGTGAGGTGGCGTCTGTCAGTTCTGCCCTCTTGCCCCCGAGTGCCCTTTCCCACAGCCTTCCCTCACACTCTCTTCTCTCTGCTCATGACCTTACCCATCTTAATGCTCACTGGGATTTAAATCTCCAGTCTTTTTTTTTTTTGGTTAATTCTTCCATGCAAGTCAGATCTGGCTAGGACGGGTTACCAGAGCATTCTACTTCGCTTCGTTCTGAAATGCGGTGTTCTCCTTGGCTGTTCTATCCGGCTGGTGTGTGCGCGTATCTCCGGGAGACCAGAATCGGGTTTGCACCTCACAGGAGCCGTTTGGCTCAGCCCGTGTCCCGCTGCCTTCTCCCAAGCAGTGGTGGCGCTGGCCCAGAATGTACCGGGCCCAGGGAAGATATGGGGCAGGTCGTGGGACCCCCCCCCCCACCCCGGTGAAGGATGGAGGTGGAGAAGGTGCCCACAGCTCACTCTCTCTCTTGTGGGCTCCTCCCTGCTGGCCTCAGCTGGGCCTGGCTCTGTCTAGATGCTCAAGGCACATTGCGGGGTCTAGGAAAAGCCTGTCCAGAGCCACTGAACTGGATCGTTTCTGCCTGGGGGAGACCCGGGTCTTAGTGGAAATAGGGGTTTTCTACCGGGGCTTCCTGTTTCGTGCTCTAGCAGGTATTCCCGAGTCTGTGTGCTTCTCAGTATAGTCACCCAGCGGCCATAGGCCCCGTGCGTCTTCCTGGGGTGGCCATCAGCTTTGCTTTCGGAGACATCAAAGCTTCATCTCTTTTATAAACCAGACACAAAATGGTTGTAGGTTTTTATTTATTTTTTTTGGGGGGGGGGATGCCAGTGACCGGGGGCCTACACTTGGTAGTGCTCAAGGGATCATTCTTGGTGGTGTTCAGGGGACCATTTGCTGCCCAGATCGAATCTGGGTCTGCCATGTGCAAGACAAGTGCCCTAATTCCCACAACTGTGTCTCTCTCTCATCTGTCATTTTAAAGGTTTTTTTTCTCCAACTAAACCGAGAACTCTGTTTTAGTCTGGTTGTTCTGTCTTCTGTTTATTTCCCCTTAGTGCTGGGCTTTCCTTTTCTGGGTTTCGTCAGACTTGTGGTCTAAACGAAGTTGAATGATAATTTTCCTTTATTGCGGGGGCAGGGTGTGGGGTGGGGGAGTATGAGGGGGGCTACCCGGGAAACTTGCAGTGCCAGGGGGGTGGGGGGGGGGCGTGGGGGGAGGCGGTAAACACATGCTTTAGCCCTCCAGGTCTCACAGCCTGTCTCCCTTTCCTGGGAATCGTGTTGGCTTTTTCAGATGCCTGCTGGCCTGTCTCCTAACACCCGGATCGCTTTGGGATCCCTCATTTCCTCTCCTGAGCCACCCTCAGGGTTGGGGTCACGTGGGGTCGGGCTGAGCCGTCCTTGCTGCGTGGCCAGGGTCCCCGGCCTTGTCCTGGAGCAGAGGCCAGTGGGATGTGGGGCGGATGCTGATGTGAGCGGCACGGCTGCAGCCAGGGCAGCCGAGCAGGGGCCGGGGTTGGCACAGGGAGGGGAGGGGCTCCGCGTGTTGCTGACGTGTCCCCAGAGCCCACAGGTAGCATGTCGTCCATGGAGGTGAACATTGACGTGCTGGAACAGATGGACCTGATGGACATTTCCGACCAGGAGGCCCTGGATGTCTTCCTGAACTCCGGGGCAGAGGACAATGCGGAGCTGTCCCCCGGCGCGGGTAGGTGGCGAGCGGGTGTGAGCCGATGCCCCTGGTGCTGAGGGCAGGGACTTCGCGTCTCCCCTGGCACTGTCTGGGCGGGTGGTCCCACCCTCCTTCGGGGTCTCGAGAGAGACACCATCCCAGTCTCTGCGTGTGGCAGGCCCTAAGCCTCACGGGTCCTTCCGCTAAGTGATTCTTTCACTTCCTGCGTCACTTCCCGACCCTGTCAGGGTTTAAGGGATGCTCTCGGGGGAGCGGCCCCCGAACATCTTTTCTGGACTTTGCAGGAGGGGACTCAGGTCCCTCCATGTGAGCAGGTGCCTGGGACAGCTCCCGGCTAGGGTGCCACCTGCAGCCCTTTCCCACTCCCCCCTCCCCCATCACCAGCCGGGGCCCTAAACTCCAAGGAGGTGACACGCAGCCTCTCAGGATGGTTTTCTCTGCAGGGCCTGACTCCAAGATGGGCCAGAACGAAATCAGTCTCCAGGTCCCGCGGGCTGCCCAGCGCCCAGCCAAGTCCCCGTCCCTGTCCTCCGCCCAGGACCCCGGGGAGGCCGGGGAGCGGCCCTCGGTGCAGTCCGACGAGGAGGGCGTGGAGGTGGACACTGCCCTGGCCACGCTACACACCGACGACAGTGACTCCTGAATGGGAGGGGGGGCCCCGACACCCCCGCCCCGTCCCCGATGCTGAAGGCCGGGCCCTGTCCCCAGACAGCTGCAGTCCCCGGGGACACGCGCAGGGCCCTGATGGCACGAGCAGCCGCCAATAAAGTGTGAGGACTCGCCCCGTGTCGCGCTGGTTTGTACTAAGCAGGTGGGGTGGGGGTGGGGTGGGGAGAAGGGGGCCTCCGCCGCCCCACGCGTGGGCACAAAAGCCCCCTCCCCGGGCTCGGGCAGCCTCTCCGGCCACCTGCGCCCATTCACTCATCGTCCACAAGACAGACCAATGTCCAAAAAACTTTTGTTTTTTTTATTATTAAACCTTGTAGTACAAACCTGAAAAGTAAACAAAAAACTGGCAATCAACAACATGGAGTGCCCCCCTCCGGGAGGGGGGCGAGAGCAGCGCTAATAAATTAAATGTCAAACTGTAAGCCGGAGGCAGGAGAGTTCACTGTCCCGAAGAGGAAAGTACACAGCAAGGCCATAAAAAACCGGACAACCACATCGGGAAAAACACTGGACTCCGTTCATGGCGCCGCCGTTCCACATGCCCCCCAGGAGTTCGGTCTTCGTCCTGCCAGCTCAGTGCAGCCACGGGACCCGCGAGTCCAACCACGAAACAAAGAACAGCTTGTGAAAAGTTTCCCTTTTTTTTTTTTTCCTTTATTCCACACACACTGTCCACACACCGGAGAGGGCCACCGCTACTCCATTTAGCATCTCATCGCCGTTGTTCAGTGACGTAAGCAGCACTTAGAAACGTTACAAGAAAAACCCTGTAAGCATCCACTCCGACCGATGAAGAAACGGAAATGTAAGGCTTTTCTTCATCTGTCTTCGCACCCCCTCCCCGCCCCCCACCGAGAAAAAGGCTCAAGTATTTAAAACCATTTACAGCGTATGTACAAAAGGGGGAATGGGAATCTTTTTTTTTCCTTTTTTTTTTCTTTGTTACAACATGAAGAGAAAAAATAGACAAGATGAGCGCAAATGCATTTTCACATTCAAAAAAAAAAAGAAGAAGAAAGAACTGCAGACATCCTGGGGATCACAAAGGAAAGGTTAATGCTGCCATGGGGGGGTTGGGGGGGAGGCGGAATGTCACGGAGATTGCACATCTACGACAGAAGCACGGCCGGCTTCAACCATGGGCGTTTTTTTTTTCCTTTTTCTTTATTCTCAAGGATGCTACTGAAAGGTTTTGTTTGGGGAGGTAGGGGAGGGAGAGGTGGTATTTTTTTGTGTTTTTTTTTTTTTAATAAAATAGCCCAACAGCACCAAAAAAATAAAAGAACAGAATGGATTTCCTAATGAAATCAGGCACACGCTCCCTCGCGAGACCCCTCGTCCTCAGGGATGCCTGGCGGCGTGCGGGTGGGCACCCCCCGCGGCCAGGACCGCCCACCCACGCAGGACGGGCTTCTTGTGTTCTCCAAGGACAAGTCCCCCCCCTTGCACGCGGCAGAGGAAAGACAGAGCGAAGCCTTTTCTTTTTCAAGTTTTATGTGTGTGTGTGTCTGTCTCTCCTATCCCTTTTCCTCTAGAAAAATGTCTGCTCATAGAACTGGTTTGCAACTTGGATCTCCAAACTTCACCCTCTTCAAAAAATGGGTTAAAAAAGCCTTTTCCCCCCAGAACAGTTTTAAAAAACAAAACAAAACACCCGAAAACCAAAGAAACAAAAAGGCTTTTTTTGTCGGCCAAAGAGGCCAATACAAATTAATACAGCCCCTTCCAAGGGTTTTAAAACAGTGGATATTACGGCAGTTTCCAAAATCTGACTGCGGAATCTAGGTATTTCTAAGTACAAAAAAAAAAAAAAGAAAGAAAGAAAAAAAAAGGTCAACAGTTTAATGCTAAAACAAAATTAGTTCTCTAAAACCAGAAGAAAATCTTCTTTAGAGCTAGTGCAAAGACAGCTTGTACCCTACGCAAGTACTCCAAACTAGAATAGAATAATTACAAAAAAATAGCTATCCGTCGGCACGGGGCTGGGGTCTTCATGACGAGCTCGAAGCACTTCGGGCGGAGGCGGGGGCGGCGAGCCGGGAGGGCGGCACGTCCACGGTGGCTCTCTTGCGGGGCCCTCTTTTTGGTGTGGGTTTGCTGAGACAGCTCTCGACGCTGCCGTTCTTCCCGGAGACCTTGCCGCAGATCTGGTTGACCAGGCTGATGATCTGCTCCTGGGCGGGGCGGGGCGGGGAGCAGACGGAGTGTGAGGCGGGGACACCCCCCCCAGACACTGTCCTGCACGGGGACCCCGGTGCATGCAGACCCCCCCCCACAGGGTCCCCACCGCCCGGGACCTCCACGGGGGCCCCCAGAGAAGCGTGCGTGGATCAAAGACCCGAGAGTAAATACACACTTCTCTGTTTTCAGGGAAGCTGAGGGGAAGGGTTGGGTGTGGGGGACACAACACACACACACACACACACTGAGCCCCGGGGACGGACAGACACGGGGACACACACACACACACACACATACACTTCCAGAGCCCCGGGAGAGGCATGTGACGGAGGGGAGCACAGGCCCCCGCAGCCCAAGCGCTGCCCTCACACTCTGCCCACACCCCTGCACCACCCCCGCCAGGACGCCCAAGCACCCAGAGGAAGGGATGGAGCTCAGGACCCCTGCAGGGCTGAACCGGAAGGTGCCCTGAGACCAGGCCCAGGTGTGGTGGGGTGCAGCTTTGCAGTGCCGCGGGATGGGCCACACCCAGGCAGCCACTCAGCCTGGTCACTCAGACTGGTGTGTCACGTCCCTGCACCTGGGCTGAAGGGGGGCGGGGGGAGGCACCCGCTCTTGGCAGGCTCCGCAGGGAACCCCCCACCCCCACCCTGGGGAGAAAAGGCCAAGCCGGCCTGTCCGCTGGAGATGTGATGGGCGGGGGGCCCAGGACCCGGCAGAGACGCCGCTCCCCAAGGAGCCCGGGTGGGCAACTGAGGACACAGCTGTGGGGGGACGAGCACCCCCTCCCCCCTCCTCCTGTGGAGAGGCGCGGCCCAGCTCTCCCAGGGCCGGCCCAGGAGTCCCGCAAGAAGCTGAGGCGCACGCGGCCACCCACCTCGTCGTAGCGGTACATCAGCTTCAGCCCGCGGCACGACTTCTGCTTCTCCACGTGCCGCAGCGCGCACTCCAAGCAGAACACCACGTTCTCGTTCTCCTGCACCACCTGCCCAGGGGCCACAGTGAGCCGCGGACCCCCCCCCCCCCAGCACTGCAGGGCATCCCCCGCCCCGACTCCCCCGGACTGGGAACCCCATAGCTACCCTAGCAGAGTCTCCTCTCCCTCGCCCCAAACCCTACCGCCCGGACAAGGGGACGGGCTGCCACAACCCGGGGCTGTTCCCGCCACCCACCCAACCCCGGAACTGAGGATGAGGACCCCTCCCCGGAGAATCTGCCACATCCTGACCAAGAATCCCAGAATTCAAAATAGAACCCCCCAGGTGACCCTGACCTCTGAGTGAAGAGCAACCCTCCAGGGAGGTGAGGGGCCTGACTGTCCCTAGGGGGTGAGGGGCTGTCACTGTCCCCAGGAGGTTGGGGGCTGTGATCACTGTCACCCCAAGGGGCAGGAGTCTGGTCGTGAGCCACAGGTGGGGAGACAGGCTGGGTGGAGTCTCCCGACTGAGGGGGTTCCCAGGTGCAGGGCGGGCCGGGCAGGCCCTGGGACAACTCACCATGGACAGGTAGCACAGGTGCTGGCACACCTGGCACCTGCGCTCCGACGTCTCCAGCTGCAGCCACTTTCGAGGCTTTTTCTTGCCGTCAGCGCCGGCGCCCGAGCCGTCGTGGCTGCCATAGCGTGCGGAGGAGTGGAGGCCGGCCTCGAACAGCTGCCTCCGCTGCCGGAGCTCCGTATCCCTGCAGGCAGACGCAGGAGGGATGTCGCGGGGGGCTGCCTGGGCCCACCTGGGGCCCGCCGAGCCCCGCCCGCATGAGAAGAGGAGTGTGACGGGGCCCCACGCTCACCTGAGCTCGTCCAGAAGGGCCGAGATGGTGCTGAGGGTGGGGCCGTTCTCCTTCTTGGCCTCCGCCTGGGCGATCTGGTAGAGCAGCTTCTCCATGGAGAAGGGCTTGGCGATGTGTCGCCGCTTCATTTCCTGAAAGGCAGCCCCCGGGCAGCGTCAGCACCCCACCCCAGGGTGCGGGGGGTGGGGAAGCAGAGGAGAGGCCAACCCCCACCAACCCGCAAGAAAGGGCACCACAGGCTCAAGGTGGATGGATGATGAGTGGGTGGGTGGGTGGATGTATGGATGGATGGATGGGTGGATGGGGATGGATGAATGGTGGATAGGTGATGATAGATGGGCAGATGGGGAGGGATGGATGATGGGTGGATGGGTGGATGGATGAAAGATAGGTGGATGGATGGGTGGATCGGTGAATGGATAAATGGATGGGTGGATGGATGGATGATAGATGGTGGATGGGGAGGGATGGATGATGGGTGGTGGATGGATGGATGGATGGGTGGGTGTAAGGATGATAGATGGGTGGATGGAGATGGATGGGTGGGTGGGTGGATGGGTGGATGGGGACGGATGGGTGGATGGATAGATGGATGGATGGATGGATGGATGGATGGATGGGTGGGTGGATGGATGATAGATGGGTGGATGGGGATGGAGGGATGAGTGGATGGATGGGGTGGGTATATGTGCATGTGCGCCCCCATCGCAGGGCCCACCTTGGCCGTCTCGAAGCCCATGCTTGTCCACTGGGTGGTGGCAAAGTGCACGGTCTCGGAGACACTGTAGCCGCAGCACACTTTGGACACGAAGGAGCCCGGGAAGCAGACGACGAACTGACCGCTCTGCTGCACGGTCCTGTGCACCTTGATCCCCTCCTTACACAGCACCTCCGGGGAGATCTGGGGGGACACGGCAGGCGGCAGCTCAGGGGCCTGTCCACAGGCAGCAGGAGGCTCCAGAGTGCAGCTTTGGCTTCTTCTCTGGACCCAGAGACCCATCCCGGGGGCTGCCCGTGGACCTCACAGCAGGGGCTAGGTCCCAGCAGAGACCGGAGCAAATGTGGCCCCGGGTGCGAAGGACTAGAGGGCGCCCAGGGCTCGGCAGCCTTGACACCACTGTCCCGTCCCAACCCGGGCCCGGCCCTACCATCACGTTGCTCTCCAGCATCTGCAGCCCGGGCGTGCCGTTGGCCTGCAGCAGCGTGTGCACGACGTCCTCCAGCTTGTTCTCCTCCTCAGCAGGAATGCAATACCTGCGGGCACGGTGACAGGCTGCTCGCTCAGCCTTCCTGCCCCCCCTGCGCCACACAAGCCAGAGAGGCAGGCGCTGGGGCACACGCATCCCCCAGCCAGTCGGCAAGGGGAGCGCCTGGGACCCCTGCCAGCCCGGCCTCAGACAGCAGGAGAGACACAGCCTGAGTCACGCTGGACCCGGCAGCCACTGAGCCACCAGCAGGTCACACACCGGCGCCAGAGCTGAGGGGCGTGTCCAGGGAGCAGCCATTAAGGACGAGGCGTGTCTGTCCCTGGGCCACAGCAGGACACAAGGGAGAGGATCTGGGCCTCAGACGGGAGCCCGCAAGGGGAACTGAGCCCATTCACGTGTCTTGGGGCGGGGCGGGGGGGTATTACACTGTGGGGGTCCAGGCGGCACTGGCCGCCGATCTATGGCCCGACCCCAGATCCCCCCGATTCCCGCGGAGTCACTGCAGTCTGGGGATGAGTCTGCAGATGCCCCTGAATCCCTTCACATGGGGGAAATGCCCGGTAAGGGGGAGGGGGAGCACACTGCAGGTGCCCACTCAGCCCCCCGGCAGCCCCGTCGGACCCAGCCAGCCCGCACCCCCACTCACCAAATGCAGTCAGCACCAGTGTGTAAGTAGTCGATGTAGGGTAGGTGGTTTTGGTCCCGAGACCAGCATGAGGTAGAAAAGACCATGCCAATATTGAGCCAGGGAATAGTCACTCCTGCGGGAGAGGGCGCAGGGCGTCAGGCACGGGGGGGGGGGGGGGAGTGGGGGGGGGGACGGGACACGTGGGTCGGGCACAGCCCAGGGCACCCCTATCCGTCAGCTGGGAGCCCGGCCCCTCCCCCCTTCCCCTCCTCGCACCGGCTCACGGGGGACCCCCACGGCCAGGCCACACTCACCAGGCACAGCACCGAGGTGACGCAGGATGGACCCTGTGTTGTTGGGGAGGACGGTGAGGTTCCAGCCATGCCTGTGGGGGGCACGGGAGCGGGGGGAAAGGAGGGTCACACAGGGCCTCAGACACCTGCGGGATGGAGGGTGGGGAGGGAGGGGGGCGAGGGGGAAGCCTCACCTGGAAAACGGCTCAGATTTCCCCACCGGGAAGCCGCTGCCGTGCGTGTTGGTGTCCACCTTGCCGCAGTGCACGGCCACGTGGCAGTCCTTCTCCTCCACCAGTCGCCAGTACTCTTGCTGCGGGCAGAGCGGGACGTGGGGGGGGGGGGGGGGGTTGTCAGCCGGCATGCGGGGGGGTCCCGCCATACCCCCAGGATCCCTGGGGCAGCTTGTGGCTTGTGCTCGGCTGGAAGGGGAGACCCCAGCTTTGTGGGGCACGTGAACAAACGTGAGCTAGCAGGGGGTCCCATGCAGATTGTGAGGCTCAGTAGGCAGAGCCCCAGGTGGGGGAGGAGCCCTGGGAAGCCTCACCCCTGCAAGCACAGCTGCAGGCTGTCACCTTTTGGTCATATCTTTATAATATCTGAGGCGAGGCGGGGAGGGAACAGGGATGGGGAGGAGGCTAGGCACGCCCTGCCCCCCGCCCCCCCATGGGTCTGGACAAGGATTGATTCCACCCCGGACGGACACAGGATGGTCACTGCAGCATCCCCGACTGCCCCGGAGCACTGCGCGCTAACCCCCAACAGGCCGGTCCCCGAGCAACCCCAACCCCTGGCTGAGTCCCAGCGGGTGGGAGCCCCTCGCCTTGAGCCCAGTTCCCAGCACAGAGCCACCTCAGCCTGGTCAGGCCGGCAGAGCAAAGCAACACCCTGAACACCCCCCCCCCCCCCCCGCCCCGCGCAGACTGCCCCGCGCAGACTGCAGGCCTTGGCCCGAGCACTGGGTTTAGCCGACCTGCCCGGGCACGGTATCAGCTGCTGGGGGCAGAAGAATGGATTCCCAAGGGGAAGGAAACAAGACAAACTGATATGCATGTTGGCACCTCTAAGTGCCACCACAGGCCTTGGTGGCCAGTTCCCATGTCCAGCCTTAAAGGGGCCATCGAGCTCCAACTGTCTACCCCGGAGCTGGCGGGAAGGGCAGGCATGCTCCCATGCACAGCCTGCCAAGTCCAGGAGCTACAGCGCTGGGCCTGGTGGGCAGCGTGGGGGTCAGGAGTGTGTCCCAGGACAGGCCAATGGGCAGAGCTACAGGCCGGAACAGCACAGACATGGGAGGCACCAGGTCCCAGCTCCCGGAACCCCCTCCTGGTGTGGGAGGTGACCTGTGTCCTGGTTCAACGGGACTGTCCTCAAAGGCCAGCCCCTAGGCACACCTGGAGGTCAGCAGGGTTCTGTCTGGAGAGGTTATGGGGACTAGAGTGTCACAGAATAGCCTGACATGCTCAGGGAGACAGACACACAGTCTCTCTCTCACAGATTGACGCAGTCTCAGTCTCATACAGTCTCACCAAGTCTCTTTCTCTCTCCCTCTCCCTCTCCCTCTGTCATTCTCCCACATACTGACATAGTTTCATAGTCTATCTTTCTCATGCACAGTGGCACACAGTCTCACATTGTCTTTCACACACACAATAATTCTCACACGTACTAACACACAATCTGTCTCTCAGAGTCTCCCTCTCTCACACAGTTATTCACACATACTGACATGCAGTTTCATAGTGTCTTTCTCATGTACACTGACACATAGTCTCACAAATACATTCTCTATCTCTTCTCTTCTCTCTCTCTCTCTCTCTCTCTCTCTCTCTCTCTCACACACACACACACACACACAGAGTCATTCTCCCACATACTGACATAGTTTCATAGTCTGTCTTTCTCATGCATAGTGGCACAGTCTCACATAGTCTCTCTTTTACACACACAATAATTCACACACAATCTGTCTCTCAGTGTCTCCCTCTCTCACACAGTTATTCTCACACATACTGACGTGCAGTTTCATAGTCTGTCTTTCTCATGTACACTGACACATAGTCTCACAAATACATTCTCTCTATCTCTTCTCTTCTCTCTCTCACACACACACACACACACACACACGCGCGCGCGCTCTCTTACTAAGGCGTGGTCACACACAAACTGTTTCACACACGAAAACTAGCCAGTGCACTCTCTCTCTCACACAGACACACACCTTCTGCTCCCTGCCAGGACTTCAGTTCCCACTTCAGTCCCAGGTCTGAGACCAAGAGCCAGGAGAGACCCAAGTCTGTCACATCTCAAGGGCTGGGGTCAGGACAGGAGCTGAGCACACAGAGTGATGCCCGCGCCACTAAGGCTCCGGGCTGGCAGGGATGCGAGGACGGCGGGGTGCCAAGCCCGTCACCGTGGAAAGGAGCGGGAGAAGGGCGCAATGTGGGTCCCCGGGGACCCACACGGTTGCTCAGCAGACGGGCGGGTCAGCGGGTCAGGCCAAGGCACACCCTCCCCCCCACCCCCCGACTCAGTTCAGATGCCTGCCCCGGCGGCCTCGCTCCCCCACGCCCACGGCGGGCAGGCGGGGCCCCTCACCTCGATTTCAGCCGGCGCGGGCTCCTTGCTGAAGCACATGTTCATGATATTTCTTGCCGTTCGATAAAAAGTCGTTAAAGAAACCGACCTTCCCTGAAAAGAGGAAGGAGGAGGGATTCAAGCTGAGGGCGCAGAGCCGAGCCTGGTCACACTCCCGGCTCCTCTGCCCGGACCCAGGGCTCAAGGGCGGTGGTTGCTACTGGGGGGAGGGTGGGAGTGGGATAGGGGTGGTTCAGGTGGTGAGCTGTGGCCCGCCGCATTCTGCTGCATTCCTCCTCATCCTCCGGTCCCCGGGAGAGACACCGTCCTGGGGGCGCTCACCCACCTGCCCCCTCCAAGGACCTGGTTTCCTGAGGGCAGGGATTAGAGGGGCAGCATCGACAGGGACCCCCGCCGAGTCTCCCTGGCCTCTTGCCTGCCCCAACACCCCCGGCCATGCTGTGTTCCGTGGAAACTCTGTGGGGACACCCAGCCCTCGCTCCTAGGGCTGCCAACTCCCAGCAGGGACTGTCCATGGGCCGAGATCTCGGGGGCTGCAGGAAGCATCGGCCCGGCCAGCAGGGGAGCCGTGAGCCACCTCACCCTTACCCCACAGTGCTCCTCCTTCTGCCAGCCTGGCCCGGGGTCCCTGATCTCCCCAGGAAGGGCCCCAGCCTGCAGGGGAGCCGGACTCCAACCTAGGCAGGCCCCCAGTTCTTGCCAGGCACAGCCGCCCGGCTCCAGGGTGGGTGGATGGCGAGGTGAGGCTAACCGAGGGGGGCCGGTGGGGAGACGGGGCCCCTCGGGAGGAAGAGCAGGGCCCCGCCGGGCACAGCCAGGAGCCCCGCGCATGCACCGCTCGCAGCCCGGGGTGCCCGGGGCCGACCTGGCGGGGCGCCCACCTTATATATACACTTGTGGAAGTCGCTGAGGACGCCCTTGTCCTCCTCCTCCTCCTTCACCACCTCCTTTTCCTGAGCAAAGAGTCGCCGGCGGCCCGTCTTCGGCGGGGCCTGCCCCGCCCCCTTGGGCTTGCTGCGGAAGCCGTTGCGGGGCGCCACGCCGTGGATGAGCCCATTCTTGGGCTCGAAGCGGGGCAGCGGGTGGAACTGGTGGGGGTCGTGCTCCGTGTGGCCCTCCAGGGGCCCCTTCCGCCGCTCCAGGCTCTCCTTCTCCAGGAGCACCTCCTTCTCGAGCCGCCGGTGCTCCTCGGGGGACAGCGAGTCGTAGGAGAGCAGGTACTGGCAGTAGGCCTCCTGCAGCTTGGCCAGGCGGTCCTGGGCCGTGCGCGGGATGCGCAGCATGTCGGCCAGCTTGTTCCACTTCTTGAGGTCCGTCACCTGCTGCATGCCGCCCATCTCGTTGATCAGCCGGAAAAAGCAGGCCAGGTCGAGCTCACATCCTCCTGGGGCGGGGGACGGAGAAGATGAGGGGGTGAGGGGTGTCAGCCTGGGGGAGGCCTCCCCTCCGCCCCCTCACCCCCACCCCAGCACAGGTCTCCGGCAGTGGGAGAGGCACCGACGGTGGGCACGGGGACAGCACCCCGAGGGGCTCCACAAGACAGTGCTCAGGCTACCAGCCCCCGGGTGCACCCGGCATGTCTCATTTCTGCACCCTCTCCCCTCTGGCCGCTGGGTGCTGGTCAGGGGGCGTCCATGCCTCTCGTCTGTCGTTCCTTTCACCCAGAAGGCTGTGCCGGACCGTCTCCCCCCACCCCTGGCCCACAGAACCACAGCCGCCACTTCCAAGCACCCGAGAGGCCTGCTGGGCGGCCACGGAGGCAGGCCTAGAACTGGGGGTGAGGTGCCGATCCGTGGAAGGTGGCTGCGATCCAGTGACACCAGTACCAGGAGGGGAGCACCCCAGGCGCCTGGAGGGCTGGGGCTCAGAGGGCGTGTCGCACACCCACTGACTGTGGCCTCTGTGGGGCCCCGTGTGTGCGCATATAATTGTGTATGCACATGCTGGTGGGCCCCGTGTGTACCCGAGTGTGCTAATCTTCTCATGTGAGGGATGCGTGTGTGCACGGGTGGCAAAGTCTCCGCGTGTGCACAGATGTGCTCGCGGTGGCCTGTATGTGTACACACAAGTGCCCGCTTGCTTGTGGCTCGTGTGTGCATGCGAGCAGATGGGTGCATGCGTGTACGCATCTGCTCGCCTGTGGCCCAGGAAGCAGCCACGGTGGAGGGGCTTTTGTATCACAGTCCAGATCCCTGGCCACTCCCGGCTCCAGGCCAGCACTGCAAAACGGAGTCCAGGGAGAGCATGGCTGCACACCGGGCTGCCCAGACACCCCTCGTGCGTCCTGTTAACCCCCATGACCCAGCAGGACACCCAGACAGATGATGTCACCTCACGGCCTCCTCTCCTGCACCTGTAGCCTGCTCAGTGCCAGGTCCCCTTGGGCGGGGTCTGGGGAACATCGGGCCACTCCCCTGGGACCTTTCTCCTCTCACTCCCCCACTCCCCACAGATGCACAGGGCTAAGGGGGGACCAGGGACATCGGGGCTGGCCTGTACTACTGACCCCAAGCACCCAGCACAGTGCCCATCCATAGGCCCTCCCTGAAGCCACCTGCCCAGCGCTGTCCACAGGGCCACAGAAGCGGCTCGTCGGCTCGGCCTCAGGAGCTCCGTGGCTCCTGTCCCTTCCCAGAGTGTCCCAGGCACCACTGGTACGTGGTGGCATGTGAGGGAACAGCTGAACCCTGGGCAAGGCCCCAGGGTTCTCCCCCAGACAGTCACTTTGGGCGAGCACAGCGTCCTGCAAATGGGCTCAGGGGGTCCTGCACGGAGCGGCTCTGGCTGCAGGGTGGGGGGAGTCTGGAGGGGGTACTAAAACACCCCGGGACCCACTGAAGCTCTGGGCAAGGGCGGGGAGCCCCCCAGAGTAGCATCCGGAAAAGCGACGCGCTGCCGCGCACATCAGCCAAGGAAGGGCAGGCAAGCGTCCAGGCCCCTACTGACGTCCCAACAGGCGGGAAGCGGGGGACCTGGACTGGGCGATTAAGGGGGTGACCGAGGAGAGACCAGGGGGTGGGGCATGGGCAGGAGAAAGGCCCCGGGGCCACCGCGTGAGGCCGGCTGGGGTGGGGTGGGACCTCACCGATGAGCGGGAGCTCGTCCATGGTGATGCCCTGAGATCTGAGGTGCTTCTTGATGCAGGCCAGCCGCTGCACGTTGGGGCCCCAGCGCCGGCCCAGCTTGTGGATGTGCTGGATCTGCGTGACGAAGCGCATCTCGTCGTTGAGCTTGCACTCGGGGCGCCAGTCGGGCGGCGGGATCACCCTGCACATGCCGAACTTCTCCACCTGAGCGCGCACCGACTCGATGTAGACGAGGGGGTCGTGGAACTCCTTGGCCGAGGGCCGCAGCACGGGGATCTCGGCCATGGGCGCCCAGCCCGCCCGGCCGCCCGCCTTCTCGGTCTTGGCCGGCGCCTCGTGCGGCTTGTGCAAGGGCTCCGGTTGCGAGGTAGAACGATTTTCACAGGGGGCGCCGGCCGCCGGCCCGTGTGCTTGTCTGCCGGCCGTGCTCTTGGCGGCCGTGGCCGTGGCCCGCTTGGGCCGGCTCCGTTCCGAGCTCCGCTCAGCCGCTTCCTTCTTCCCATGGCCGCTCAGGGGGGTTTTCTCCGGGGCTGGGGCCGCCGCCGCCGAGGATGCCGCCGAGGCTGCCGCTGCCGCCGCCGCCGGAGCCGCCGCCTTCCTGCCAGGGGCTTCGGCGGGGCTGGCCGCCCCTTTCATCTTCTTGGGGGGCGACTGCGGCTTCTCGGCCTGCTGCTGGGCCTCTTCCAGTCTCCGCTTGGAATTGCGCAGCCCCTCCCGCAGCTGCCGCCCCCCCACCTCCTTAGTGCATGACTTTGGGTTCAACCTGCCGCTGACCTTGAGGCCGTTGACGGCGGGCCCGGCGGCCTTGGACGCCCCCCCGAGGGATAGCACCTGTTTTCGGGTTTTTGCATTGCTACTTTCAGTTTTCCCTGAGATTGTGTGGTTGACAGCGGAACTGGGCTTGTGGTGAGTGGGTTTGGTTTCCTTGACCAGTTCTCTCTTGGCTTTGGTGTATGTGACAGTCCCCTTGGTCACCGTGGCCGTGTACTTCACAGTTTTGGACGGTGAAGGTCTGACTTCGCGTATCTTTTTGGCACTGGTTGCGTTTGTACCCAGAGATGACATTCGAGTGACTCCGTTTACCTTAGAGACCTGGGGGGTGGCAGAGGAGGAAAGCGGAGTGAGTGTCTGCATGGCACGTCCCGTCCCTCCCCGGCGACCCGGCTGCCTGGCGTCTGATCCCGCTGTGAAACCCCGCGTGATGCCAAGCTCCGCTCCTTGCCGTGGGGGGAGCGAGGGAGCAGCCCTGTGAAGTCCAGCACCCACACTCGCTCCCAGTTCTGCGGCAGTCGCTGCTCCAAATCCCCCTCAGGTGGCAGCTGATACCCTGCCCGGGCCTGAACCAAGAAGAGCAAAGGTACAGCCACACGCAGCCCAGAGCAGCCCCCAGAGTGTCGCCCACGGGATTCCTGGATGCACCTGAGGCCTTGCCCATGCCATGGTACAGATCAGCTATGGCGTAGGTGGTAGACAGGATATAGTGTGCATGGTGCAGACAGGACGTGGCATACGTGGTATAGAACAGACATGGTGCACGTGGCACAGATTGTTAGGGAACATGTATAGACTAGATGTGGTACAGACCAAACATGGCCTGCGTGGTACAGACTGGACATAGCAAACATGATAGACCAGACATGGTGAACATGGTGCAGGCTGAATGTGGCCTGCATGGGACAGACTAGACGTGGCCTACGTGGTACAGACCAGATGTGGTGTTATGTGGTACAGACAGGACATGGCATACATGTGGTAGACTGGACATGATGTACGTGGTACAGAATGGAAGTGGTGAAGCTGGTACAGACCAGATGTGGCGTACGTGGTAGAGGTAGACTGGATATGGCATACATGTTATAGACTGGATGTGGCCTACATGGTACAGACCAGATGTGGTGTTATGTGGTACAGACAGGACATGGCATACATGTGGTAGACTGGACATGATGTACGTGGTACAGAACGGAAGTGGTGAAGTTGGTACAGACCAGACGTGGCGTACGTGGTAGAGGTAGACTGGATATGGCATATATGTTATAGACTGGATGTGGCCTACATGGTACAGACCAGATGTGGCGTGCACCGTGCAGACTGGACGTGGCCTACATGGTTCAAACCAGATGCAGTGTCTGTGTGATACAGACCAGACGTGACATATATGGTACCGACCGGACGTGGCGTACGTGGTACAGACTGGATGTAGTGACACTGAGAAGCCACTTCACTTGGAACGTGGACAGTGGGAGTGGGGCTGACAGGAGCCAGCCGGGTGCCAAGTTCCGGACAGAACTTAGGCTGCGGTGGGAGGAGCTGCTGGTTCTCAGCTGAAGTCGCCTCAAGTAGGATTGGGGGAGGGGGCCTGGTGGACTGGGGGGGAAGGGGCCTGCTGCTGAGTTGGGTGAGGAACCCAAACCTCTCAGCTGCCACTGTTCTTCCGAACACCTCGGGGCAGGAAACAGGGTGGCACCAGCACCAGCAGACCCTGCGAGCTCAGACAGGGTTCCTCCGTGGGGGAGGGGAAGCCCACCCCAACCCCGGCTCAGCCCCCCGCATAGCCTCAGGGATTATCTCTGGGGGAGCAGGGTGGATGCTCTCCGACTCCGGGAGAGACCCCTGATATGCCCAGCTGTGTCCATCAGGGGTTCTCAAACCTGGGACCCCCAGGAACCCTGCCAGAGCTACCGAGTAACCCCCCACCTCCATAGTCCAAATCCCCCACTCTGACTTCATGGAAGAGGGCAGGGGAAGAAGTGGGGGGGGGGGTAGGGGAGGAGAGGGAGAAGGGACGTAGGATGGCTGGGCGGCTCAGTGGCCAGGCCGCTCTGCCTCTGGCACCTGGGGGAGGGGGGTGGCGACCCTGAGTTCCAGGGGGAGCCCATGACCTGCCGCTGCGCCCCCAGCCTCCCAGGTGGGACAGGACACTGTCTCGCGGCACCTTCTGGGAGACGCCAACCCCTGCTCAGTGGGATGAGCTGTCCCTTCTGTCCCCTCATGCTGCCACAGTGCTCTCTGGGGCTGCCACGCCGGCGCCCACACAGGGCCAGTCCTGTGCCACGACCCTCAGGCAACGCCCCGAGATTCCGTAGTCTGGGCTGGAAGGGGCTCCTTTTGCCTCCTGCCTCCCCCTTCCTGGTACCCAGCTGACGGCACTCACGGGGACCCCCATCCCGTGTGCTGCCTTGGGGCCCCACAGAAGCCACGTCTTGGGCACGGGCAGACCAGCTGCACCCCATGTTTAACTGGGACCAAAGGTGACGAAGGACAGAAGAGTCGGACCCGACACCGCCGGAGCCACCAGACCCACAGGAGCTCCAGTGGCCGCGTGCCAGGGGCCTGCCCAGCCCGGCCTGAGACAGGGGTCACCCCCAGACACACCCGGAGTCAGCGGCATCCCTGTGGCCCAGCAACTCACCAGCTTTCCTCCCGTGCCGCCTCCATGAGGTGCCAAGGGGATGGGGGGATTTCTGACTCGTGTCCAAATTTGTTCCTCTGGGGTACTCAGGTTACCCCTGGAGGTTTTTGAGCTCCCGCCCCATGTCCCGACCCCCACCCCACCTTGTGTCTCATCCCGTCTCTGTTCCAGGAATGCAGCCGCCACGCCCTTGGGTCCCACTAGAGGGAGCCTGTGAGTCGGATGCTGGCTGTCTCCTGAGGCAGCCGGAGGAAGCCCCCGCCCCTGGGTTCGAGAAAGGGAGACTCAGGCCCCAAGTTGTGGTGAGCAGTGCCCTCACCCACCCACTCACACAGGCGCCCAGGGCACCCATGACCCCACCCTGTGGAGGGGGCGAGCTCATGGCCACCTCCTGCGTCCAAGGTGTCACGGGCTTACACAGCCGGACACTGAGCGGTCGAACCACAGCCAGCCACGACTGGTGGGCATTTATCACCTGTGCGTTCCTAGCTGGCAGCGTGTGGACCAGCCGCCCCAAGGAGCTGCTCGCATCCGGTCCTCGAGGCCTGTGGCAGAGGCTGAGCCTCACATGCTTCTGGGATAGGAGTGGGGGGGTGTAGGGGTGGGCACCTCTAGGTGCAAGCTGGCCTGCTGAGGCCTCTAAATGAGTTGCTGCGGGGCTGGAGCGATAGCACAGCGGGGAGGGCGTTTGCCTTGCACGTAGCCAACCCAGGTTTGAGTCCTAGCATCCCATATGGTCCCCCGAGAAATGCCAGGTGTAATTCCTGGGTGCACGAGGCAGGAGTAACCCCTGTGTATCGCCAGGTGTGACAAGAAAAGAAAAGAAAAGAAAAGAAAAGAAAAGAAAAGAAAAGAAAAGAAAAAAGAAAAGCACCGCCATGGGGAAGCTTTTCTCCAGGAGCAGAATTGTAGCCTACCTCGGATCCCAAGCTAGAGACACCCTCCCCACATCAGCTTTGTACCCAGCATGGCCAGAACACACGTCCACCCCAGCGGCTAAACCTGCGAGCGTCTCTGGTTTCACGTCACCCCGACAGCCCCGGGGAAAGCTGGGTCATGCCATCAGGCTCTTTCGGTCACTGCGGGCAATGCCAGGCAGTGTTAAAGGCAGGAAGGGAAGAGGTTTGGGGGGGCAACGGGGAGGCACGAGCCCCCCACGGACCGCCACTCTCGCCGTTCCTTTCAGCTGACCCAGAGCCCGTCTGCCCTCTGGGCCTGTTTCTCATGCGGCTGAAATCATGAACGGGTGGGTTCTAACCCTGTGCATGAGCAAGTTCAAAGGACATTGGCGCTTTGTACCCCGGGCTCGATTTTCTAGCTAGGGACTTGACTAAGGGGCGGGGTGTGACGGTCTCACAGCCACAATTTCAGCCCTCATGTATCGTCCCCGAGAGAGGTCACGGGCGAGACTGGTCCCTGTAAGGGCTCGGGCCCTACAAAGTTCAAACAGCTCAAAGCCCCAGCTGGATCAAGGGGCTGAGTTGGCGGGGGAGGGAGAGAAGGAGAGAGAGAGAGAGAGAGAGAGAGAGAGAGAGAGAGAAGGAGAGAGAGTGTGTGTATGCACAGCGGGAGTGTGTGTACAGCTGGATGGTGTGTGAGTATGTGCACAGACGTGTGTGTGTGTGTGTGTGTGTGTGTGTGTCTGTCTGTCTGTGAGATTCTGGGAACATTCCAGGGACTTCGGCACCAAGTCGGAGGTGAGTTTAGAGTCACTCTGGTCAGCTTTGTGGATCCAGCCTCACCGGGTCAGCGAGAGGAGGGGATGGGCTGTGTGGTCACGGTTTCGCTCCCACCCCTGCCAGCATCCGACACCCTCTGAAGTCAACACACCTGGGGCCAGTCCTGTCCCCATGTCTGTCAACCCAGCAGTGGCTGGATAGACATGGTGGTGTCCCTCACATAGGGAGCCCAGAGACCATGCCTCCTGGGCCCCATGACCAGGCCCAGGGCTTGCGGGAGCATCAATGACTCGCGGGAGGCAGAGGTGCCAGAACCCAGCATTGCGGCTAGCACCTGCCCACCTCCTGACGGGGTCTGGGCTGAGGGCAGCAGCCTGCGCTGCACCCCGGGCCCACTCACACTGGGCCCTTTGCCACGGTCCCGGCAAAAAACCTCGGGGTCTGGTGAGGACAGCCTCACCCCAAATGCTGACGGCAAGGACCCTGCGGCCAGCCCACGGCCCTGAGTCACAGTTGGAGATGAACGGCCAGTGAGGTCTGACCGTGCACACGCAGGCTGGGGTGAGGAGCTACAGGTCGGGGTCCCTGAAACCCCAGTTCTCTCCTGAGCCCTCATCACCGCAGGGCTCAGCCCTCGGATGGGAAAGACCAGAGGCCAGCACCGGCAGAGCCCAGCATGGCCGGGGCTATCTACGGAGGCAGTGTGGGGATCAGAGGGACCCCCAGGGGCTGTGGAGGGGGGGGGGGGATGTGAGTGGGGGCAGTCTAAGACATGCACGTGCAGATGTATGCGGTGCTTGGGTGTCAGCAGGATGTATGCAGAGTATATGTAGGGAGGCTGTGAGGTCTACGTGGGTTTGTATGGGTGTGTGTGTGTGGGGGGGGTGTATGCGGGTGCATGGGGAAAATGTAGGGCACGTGAGGTATATGCGGAGGCATGTGGGGTGTATACGGGTATGTGTGGGGCATACGCAAGTGCATCTGTGGTGTATGTGGGAGCCTGTGGGGACATGTATGCTGTATGTAGCTGCATGGGGTATATGCGGGGCATCTATGGGGTGTATGTGGGTGCAAGTGTGGTGTATGCAGGGGTAGATGTGGGGTGTGTGTGGAGTCCATGTGGCTGTATGCAGGAGCATGTGTGGTGTATGTGGGTGCATGGGGTATATGTGGGGTGTATGTGGATGCATGTGTGGTATACACGGGTACACAGAGTGTACACGGGACATACGTGGAGGGGGTGTGGGTGTATGTAGATGCATGTGTGGTGTATGTGGGCACATGGTGTGGGGGTGGGTATATGTGGCGTGTGGGGAGGGAGGGCCTGGTGTGCACAGCCTCAGGGCAGGGGTCCACCTGCCCCTGAGAAGGCCTCTCCCATTGCGGGCAGGGCCTCTCCTGTCACATGAGAAATCCCAGGAGTGGACAGACCACCCTGATAGCCCCCCACACTGTGCTTCCCCACCCCAACCCCGGCCTCCAGACTCGTCTACACCAGGTACTGGGGGTGAGATGCCAAGGGAAGGAGGCAGCCTCCCCGGGTGCTGCCAACAGTAAGGGCCAACCGGCCATGGGCAGAACGGTGGAACGGGCATCCCGGCAGAGCCTGTGGGCAGCTTGGGATCTCCCCCCACAAACGCAGGTACCTGTTTCCGTAAGTCCTGAGCCGACCGGTGCAGAGGGGGGTGGTGGTGGTTAGCAGCGGGCCCCTTGGCCAAGGAGCCCGTGGAGGGCGCCGCTGGGGGGTGGTGGGCGGGAGCCTGCTCCCTCCGGCCGTCAGCCCGCTGGTCACTGTGCTTCTCCTTCCCGGGAGTGGCCTCCTTGCTCTTGTGTTTCTGAACAGGTTCCTTCTCCCGCGATGATCTGCTGGAACCATTGAACACTGGAAGGAAGGAGAAAAGGGAGAACCAGGTCACGCCACCTCATGGCCTGTCGGTGTGGCGACCAGGACAGTGGCAGCCTGGACACCAGCAAGCCTCGTCTCGCCTCCTGGGCGCAATCTGGGGACAGTCCATAACACGCCATCAGAAACTGAGGGTCACCTGCTTGGGGTTGAAATGATTGATGGAACTATGGAAACAACAACAACAACAAAACATCTCCAACCAAAATGCAAATCAAAGTAATACTGAGATCACCTCTTACACCAGTAAGAATGGCAGAGACAGAAAAGTCTAGAAACAGCCGGTACTGGCGGGGTTGTGGCAAGAAAGGCATCCTTCCCAGGACGGCTGCCGTCGTCTCCGGAAGGTCATATGGAGATCTCTCGGAAGAATGGGAATTGCACTTCCATGTGAGTGAGTCACACCATGCCTTGGCATCCACCCCCCAAGCACAAAAACCTTCATTCGAAAGGATGTATGTCCACCTTTGTTCACTGCAGCACTTGGTACAAACAGCCGAGAGGCTGAAACAACCCAAATGCCCAATGATGAGTGGACCAAGTTGTATGGAATACTATGCAACACAATGGAGTGGTGTGCAATGTAATGGAGTACTATGCAGCCTTAAGAAAGAATCATGCAATTTGCCACAACGTGGATAGAACTAGAGGATATCGTGCCGAGTGAAGTCAGTGAGAAGAACAGGGCCGGATAGTGCTCTCTCCTGTGTGGGACGGGACTTACAGATACACAGTGAGGTTGCAACCGAGGGCAAAGACAACACAATTCATTTACAAAACTGGATTTTCCTTTTTGTGTGGGGGGTTGAGTGGGTAGTGTCTGAGAGGAGGAGGGGTACTGGGGTCCTTGGAGGAGGGAGGCAGATACACTGGGGAGGGGTGTGGTGCTGGAATTACATGCATGGGAAATCGCTGTTCAAAGTATTGTAGATGTGGGGCTGGAGTGATAGCACAGCGGGTAGGGCATTTGCCTTGCAAGCAGCCGACCCAGGTTCAATTCCCAGCATCCCCTTTGGTCCCCTGAGCACGGCCAGGGGTAATTTCTAAGTGCAGAGTCAGGAGTAACCCCTGTGCATTGCTGGGCATAACCCAAAAAGCCCAAAAAAAAGTATTATAGATGATGGAAAAGAAGTCATTACAAGAAAAAAACTCCAACCTCCCTCCTTGCAGAAAAACAAACCACAAACCAGAAGGTAGCAGCCAACAGAGTAGGGTTCACGTGAGCACAGAGGGACATGCAGATAACACGAAAGCACCTCCGGAGAATATCTGGCACACAGAGAACACCGGAACCCTCAGAGAACACCTGAAACCTTCAGAGAACACGGCAGCACCTCCAGAGAACACCCAGCACCTCCAGAGAGAACACCCGGCACCCCCAGAGAACACCCGGCACCCTCAGAGAACACCTGGCACCCCCAGAGAACACTTGGCACCCCCAAAGAACACCCGGCACCTCCACCAGACCGCAGCTCCAGCAAGGGTCTGGCCTTGCACCTGCAAGCTGGCCTGGCCCATCCCCACACATATCCCCCTCCAACACCCAGGGTGCCCCTTTCACCTCACCCCCTCAGGGAGCTCAGATGAGAAGATGGGGTTGGGGGCTTCTGTGGCACAAACAAGGACTTGGGGTTGGAGCAATAGCACAGCAGTAAGGGCGCTTGCCTTGCATGTGGCCCACCCAGGTTCGCTTCCTGGCATCCCATATGGTCCTCTGAGCACCACCAGGAGTGATTCCTTAGTGCAGAGCCAGGAGTAAACCCTGAGCATTACCATGCGCGGCCCAAAAACAAAACAACAACAACAAATAGATATGAAAACTGAGTCTGGTCACCAAAATTTCTCCTGATAGCCTGATCTACACTCATGTTCCGTGATGCAGGAAGGACTGTGCCAATCAAAACAGGATATGGAGTCCGGGCTAAAAAGGTTCCACTGGATACCCTCAGTTTCAGAGAAAATGGAGTTTCAAGTGGTTGGTATTTATTCTGTAAGTAACTACGCAGTCAGGGACCATCCATCATACCCACGCTGGCAGAATCTGTGCTGGCGTTCGAGACAAATGAAAAGCACCGTCGGTGAGAAGTCATACTTCACCGTGATTAAAAACCAAGCCGAAAGACATGAATCTCGGCAATTCCTGACTGCTCGCCGCTCTCCTAAGCAAATGAACGCAGCTCCTGGACTGAAACACGGCACAGGAAACTGTCTTGGAAGGAAAAAGAAAATCTGACATATTCCGGGGTCAGATACGGCTTGGTGATAAAGCATATGCCTTGCATGCATAAGGCTTGGGTTCTTAAAAAACTCAGGTATGCGGGTTTTGGGTTCTGTGACCTGAATCTCCAGGCTCTCACAGACTCGGGGATGGGTGACCTCCTCCCATCCCCCCGCTCTTCTTGGAGCCTGGCAGTCACACCCACAAACTGCCTCTGGCAAACTGTGCCATATATGCTCAATAACGGGCCATGACCCAGAGACTTGCAAGTAAATCTTGGAAGAGATAGACAGACTGCAGAGATGCCTCTGGACCCCAAAGTCACCAACCAGTTAAAATTTTAATTATTTAAAATTTCAGAATTCCTGTAGCAACATCTCATACTCTACACCACTGATATAGGAGTAGAACACATTGTAAGGTAGAAGGCAACGAACCTCAATTAAAAAGAAAATACTGAACACAAGGCTCAGCCTGTAACAACAACATGTTAGTAAGCTCTTACACAAGAGCTCAATGGCTTTAGGGTGAGATACAACAATCTTCACACACTTTCTTCTAAGGAAACCTTTCTGGATCACTTTTAGAGAATTATTCCTCACAATCAACGCAAAATAAATTATTTAGGGCTTGTTCTTGGGGCAGGCTTGGGTGATGGTTAGGAAAATTCAAAAAGAACGGTGGTGTGATGGTGTTGAGATTGATGTTGGAATATTGAATGTAATAAATTGTGAACAACCTTATAAAAATTTTAAAAAATTAAAAAAAAAAGAAGACCTGGGTTCACTTGCCAGCACGACTAAATTAAGAACACTCAGGCTCCATGCTTCGGTACTGCTCTAAGGAGGTGTCAGCTCTGGAATCACACCCACTGTAGCACTGTCCTCCCGTTGTTCATCGATTTGTTCGAGCGGGCCCAGTAACGTCTCCATCATGAGACTTGTTGTTACTGTGTTTGGCATATCAAGTACATCATGGGTAGCTTGTCAGGCTCTCCGAGAGGGGTGGAGCAATCAAACTCAGGTTGGTCACATGGGCCGCGTGCAAGGCAAATGCTCTATCCGCTGTGCTATCGCTCCAGCCATTTATCTTTTGAAAGGAGGCATTATTTTGAATTTCCCCGGCTTTAATATGGCAGATTTCAACAAAGATAAGCTACACCAAGGAGCCGGTCCCTGAGTAACGCTTCCGAGCAGGTCGGAGGAGGAAGATCGAGGCTGCAGCCGCTAGATGGGGCCGTCCTTAGCTGCACCTAGTTTCTCTGAGGCTTAAGAACTTGAATTTGCCCATCCAGACAAATGCCCCCCAAAGGAGAGGCTCTGAGAAGGAGCTTTCCGGAATCTGGGTCAACCTATCTGACAGGGGGCTGACTGACGGCCTCCAAACCTTCCTTCCCCGTCGCCAGTGAGACCAAACACTGGGTGCCTAACGGGGCCTTGGCGACACCCCCTGTCAGGGCTCCGTGGCTAGCCAGCAGGGTGATTTCTGCGACCGGAAGCAGCCAGACCGTTAGCAGAAGGACCTGGCTCCAGAACGAAAGGCTCAACTCTTTGCTTCTCTCCCCGTGCAGACTCTTCAGCGGACTCTGCTCTGCCACGACCAGCACCAAGTCAAGTGCTCAGGGCAATGCTCGGGCAAGCAAAGGCCCCCGTCCCTGTCTGCCTGGCACTGTATGCCTACCCCCCCATCATTTCACTGTCATGAGACCTGCAGGATTCTGGATTCTAAGTGGGTGAGCCCCAAGTCGTTCACAGAACACCCGGGACATCCTTAAGAATAGCACTTTACACAGACGCCTGCTCTCACGGACCATGGGAAGAGGGTGTGGGGACAGTACAGTACAGGTTCCATCTGCATCCCAGACATCCTAAGCACCTTCGGCTGTAGCCCCCAAACAAAAACCAAATAAACAAAAACAAGGGGGGGGGGGGGGGGGACGACATTTTCCAAAATGTCAAATGCCCAGGAATCAAGACCTCCCTGCAAACCAAGAGATGTTTCGGGAACAACCCCAGGGGGCCAGGCTCTCTCTGTGGGACAGCACTGACACCGGGCAGGCAGAGCGAGCCCCCAAGTCAAGTCATGTGCCCAGTGGGAAGAAAGGGGGCGGGGGGGTGGATCAGGAGTCGGCAGACAAGGTATATTTTGTACACAACAGCTCATTAATTTTGAGTATTGTGGGAACCTGCCAGTTTTAACCCTCCAAGTAATTACATTTTGTCTTAATTTACAAGATTCTCTCGGAGAGAAGGGGGGTAAGGGGGCGGGAATTACTCTCACAGAGAAGACTAAGCCCTGTGAACACAGAGGAGAGGGGAAAAAAAGTTAGATGCACGAATCACCTCGGTGCTCTGTCCCCAATTAAGAGGAATAATTGGACCCGTTTCTTTAAGGGGGGGAGCGTTTATCACGGTAAACCAGATTAGGAAACTGTATTGTACTCAGGTACAAATAGCTCTGCGTTAATGAGCAAAGACAAACGTATTGATTTGGATTCGCAAACTTTGAAAGTTAAATGGCCTAGAGACCCGTGTTTCCACACCAGGGCAAGCACAATCTTTAAACCCGAAGCGCTTAGGGTCGTTCTGTGGCGGAGCTCTGCTCTGATTGAGGGATGAAAAGGAAAGGAGTCAGACGAGCTACTTTAGACACTTCTAGCATAACCAGTGTCTGGTTCTGGAAGTAGGGACGGATATGCAGGTGCAGGAGAGGCTGCCTGGGGAGGTTGAGATTCTTGGGGAGACCCCGCGAGGCACCCCAC